CGGGAAACACCGGGATTGGATCGGGAAACACCGGGATTGGACCGGGAAATACCAGGATTGGATCGGGAAACATCGGGATTGGACTGGGAAATACCAGGATTGGACTGTTAAACACCAGGATTGGATCGGGAAACACTGGGATTGGAGTGGGAAACATCGGATTGGAATGGGAAACATCGGGATTGGATCAAGAAACACTGGGATTGGAGCGGGAAACATCGGGATTGGATCAGGAAACACTGGGATTGGAGCGGGAAACATCGGGATTGGATCAGGAAACACTGGGATTGGAGCGGGAAACATCGGGATTGGATCAGGAAACACTGGGATTGGAGCGGGAAACATCGGGATTGGATCAGGAAACACTGGGATTGGAGCGGGAAACATCGGGATTGGATCAGGAAACACTGGGATTGGAGCGGGAAACATCGGGATTGGATCAGGAAACACTGGGATTGGAGCGGGAAACATCGGGATTGGATCAGGAAACACTGGGATTGGAGCGGGAAACATCGGGATTGGATCAGGAAACACTGGGATTGGAGCGGGAAACATCGGGATTGGATCAGGAAACACTGGGATTGGAGCGGGAAACATCGGGATTGGATCAGGAAACACTGGGATTGGAGCGGGAAACATCGGGATTGGATCAGGAAACACTGGGATTGGAGCGGGAAACATCGGGATTGGATCAGGAAACACTGGGATTGGAGCGGGAAACATCGGGATTGGATCAGGAAACACTGGGATTGGAGCGGGAAACATCGGGATTGGATCAGGAAACACTGGGATTGGAGCGGGAAACATCGGGATTGGATCAGGAAACACTGGGATTGGAGCGGGAAACATCGGGATTGGATCAGGAAACACTGGGATTGGAGCGGGAAACATCGGGATTGGATCAGGAAACACTGGGATTGGAGCGGGAAACATCGGGATTGGATCAGGAAACACTGGGATTGGAGCGGGAAACATCGGATTGGAACGGGAAACATCGGGACTGGACTGTTAAACACCGGGATTGGATCAGGAAACACTGGGATTGGACTGGGAAATACCGGGATTGGATCGGGAAACATCGGGATTGGATCAGGAAACACTGGGATTGGA